TGCGGGGAGTGGGGGGGAATTTACTGCTGTGTCATTGCCTGCGAAATGCATTTGCCCCTCTCCCGAGGGGAGAGGCTGGCCCGGGAGAGGGGATGGGGGATAGGGGGAGGCAGCTTTGCAGCCTGGAGCCATCCGGCGAGACGGGTGGCTGCATCTCCCGCTCACCCCAGCATGTTTTGGGGCTGGGCTCGTCCCCCAGCTCCTCTCCCATTCCATCCCCGAGGGCTGGGGTGCTGCTGGGTGGCACATGAGGGCCTTTAACCCTCCCAGCAGCACTGCTGGCTCCCTGTGCAGACAGAGCAAATGGCTTGGTGATGCTCTAAAAACAAGCCAGTGGTTGGAGGACCTTATTTCTCAGGCTGCAGAGCCCTTGGGTTTGCCTGCCCCTCTGAAATGGGACCACAGCTCTTCTCCAGGACAAGGTTGCAAACTCCTGCTGCCGGGCAGCTTCTGATGATGGTACAGAGGTGTGTGGTGGTTGGCAGTGGTTAGCGAGCTCTGTCAGATGTCTCCTGCAGGAAGAAATGTCCAGCGTGAGGGTCTTTCCTTATCCGGTTTCTTCACTCAGCAGGGGGGAGCTGGTGCCATCACATCCCCCATCCTGGGGCAAGGTGCAAGGTGTCAGGCAGAGCTCTGGGAGCCTGGCTGCAGCATGGCTGCTCCTCCTCCGGCCCTTTCACAGGGACCTGTGAGGGACACAGGGTTTTGCAAGAGCAGAGCCTTCCACTGGCTTCTTCCCTCCTCGGTCCAAATGGTCAGTGGAGCCAGAGATCTGGGGATGGCTTGTCTTCCTCCCGCTCCTTCCAGACCCAGGGGCTGCGACAGGCCAAGCCTGCAAGGTTTGGGACCACACACAACCGCCCAGATCTGGGCTCAGCTCCACAAAAGACCGTCCTGGCCATGCAGCGTTGTTCTGCAACGCGAAGCTGATGGCCTGCATTGCTGTGAGAGGGCATTGCTTCGGGCCAGGGTGGCATGTGGGTATCAGGTGGCTTCCAGGACAGGATAGCTGGTTTTGGACAACAGCGCTGGCACAGAGGGGACAGGTCCCCCGGGAGTCACAGCAACCCATCTGCCAGCCACTGCTGGCCTGTCGTCTCTGCTCTGAGGTCCCAGCTCCTCCGGGGGGGTCACCTGAGGAGTGACACCGCAGGTAGAGCTTGATGCGACTTGCTGGAGCACAGGGGAGAGCAGTCAGGATGTGCCTTTTTAAGCTGTCAAAGGAGAGACTGGAGGATGGGGAGGTTTCAGCAGGCACAGTTCTGAGTCTTATTTTCCAGCAGAAAGGGGCTGGCCTTGAATTTCATCTCTAGCATGGCAGGGCTGGGGTGGTAGTAGAAGACCATTTGCCAGCCCAGCTTGCTGGTGGTGCTCCCCCTTGGTCCTCAAAGTAGCTTTGATGGCAGATGTTATTTTGAGAAGAGATGATCCTGTCAGCAAAATAGCCAGATTTGGGTAAACAGCCTTCTGGGCCATCACTCAGCAAGGAGGGTCTGGTTTCAGAGCAGAATCAGAGGCTGGTTTGTGTCCCTAGTCCTCAACCTCTCGCTGGTGAGGGGGAGCAGCGTGTGAGGCTTCACCCCGAGTGCATCCCACCAGCCAACACCCAGCTCAGGAGGGTGCACAGGCTCTGGAAAACATGCTTGCTTTTTTATTGCCCCCTTTCCGTGGATGAAGGTGAGACAGCCTGGCTAGATGGCCAGGAAGGGAGAGGAGAAGACAAAGTAGAAGAAAGCTCATTCCCAACAATTGCTTGTGCTGGCCACCTTCAGTGTTACCATTCCCACCCCTCATTCCCATGCTCAGCCTGGGGGCACTTGCGGCATAACCCCCTCTCAGAGGCACAGGGAGTTGGAATGCTCTGGCAAAGCTGTATTGGCTCTCCGTGGGAGCTGGCAGATTCCATTGCTGGGCATTTCTTTCCGTCTTTGCTGGAAAAGCGAGGCAGGAACCTACAAATCCGCCTTGGCAAGGTGGGAAGGGAAGGGTCCTGCCTGCTGAGAGCAGGGCTGTAAGTCGGGCCACGTGGTATGGTTCAATGCCAGAAGAGATGGGGCTCCGTTTGGAGAAGGCTGCTGGACTGACTGACCCCATGCGAGCAGACAGGTCCTGGGCAGCCCCCCCTTTGCCCAAAAAGCCAGGCAGGCAGCAGGTAGCTGGTGCTGCCCTCCAGCCTGCCCACACAGCCCTCCAGCACCAGCGTGGTGCCTGCCCTGACTCCGAGGGCTCGAAACTCACTGCCCCAAGGAGGTTCCTCCCCTACTAAAAGCATTGGCGGGACCGAAATTCCCCCTCGACCCCTGCTCTGGGGTCTCTGGGAGGTCTTCTGGTCCCAGCCAGCTATGATACCTTCACTGCCCTGTGTAGTGTCCCATCTCGTCACGTTGTAAACTGATGAAATCACTGCCCCGTGTTGCATCCTGTCCCGTCCTAAACTGATGAGCTCACTGCCCCGTGTTGCATCCTGTTACTGTATGTCCAGACTCGGTGCGGTCACTGCTTTGTGTTGCATTCTGTTGCGTCTGAGGTTCCTGCAGTTTACTGCCCCGTGTCACGTCCTTGGGTAGCAGAAGCTGTCAGCCCTTCCCGCAGGCAGCCCAGCTCCGGCGGCTCCCTCTCCCAGGAGATTCCTTCTGAAAGACCGCAGCTCACCCTTTGGGACATCAGTTGTTCTGGGGAAGGGGGGTGTGAGGGCTAACGCAGGACCTAGTGAGGGAGGGGGGAGCTCAGTGATGGTGCCGGTGGGAGCCGTGTAGGATGTGAAAGGAGCAGTGAAGGGGTGAATACCAGCAGTTTTTAACTGCAGCCCACCCACGCACCCTAACGGGTTGCTCTGTGGACTTTTCCAGGGGATTGGCACGGTGTGTGCTCCTTTTCCCTCTGCAGGGAAGGGTATGAGGCCGACGTGCATGTCCCTCTGTCTCCTGGCTAGACTAAAGACGGGGACAGGGAGCGGAGCACAGCAGGGAAGGAGAGTCCAGAAGTAGTTTGGGGTTGCAAGCAGAAACATGGCTGTGAGGTCATCCAACCCCAAAGCCTTAAAGGCTAGTGGTAGTGGCTGAGGATGGGGAGAGATACGTGCATGCGTAAGGTCTCCTCTTTGGAGGAGACTTGTCCTGATGCAACGCACCAGAGCTGCGCTCAGGACAGCTTCCCACAGCGCGTCTGCCTTGCGGGGCCCAGGAGCGACAGCCACGCTGGGTTTAAACCGGACAGCTTAGTACTGGTCTAGGTCCAGAGCTAATTGAGCCTCCCCACACTAGTCAGCAGTGTGGACAGACGCACCCAGCGCAGCTCCAGAGCCTGTAAACATCAGGACGGCATTGGCACTGGGTGCAGGGATGCAGGGGGAGCTGCCTTTGCTTTTCAGCATCCCATTCCTGTTCCTCTGAGCTTGCTGGCCTGGTCACAAAGCCCCCAGAGTGGCCATCAGCTCCTAGGGGACTCCCTTTTGGACTAGGCAGGTCCTTGGGATGAGCAACAGCAGAGATTGTGGCAGGTCAGGAGAGAGCGGTGCCAGCCGGAGTGCGGGGACGGAGCTGGCGTGGCACCACCAGCACCGCAGCCAGCAGCACGTCCCTGCAGGAGCACCACTTGCCCCATCCCCGCTTTTCATTTACCCCTTCACGAGGACCACAAAGGGTGGCTCAGGAGCTGCTGCCTCTCATGTGCCGCTCTCTGCCTTTCTCACTCTGTGTCTCTTCCTGTTCCATCTCTTCTCCTTGTTTTTCCAGAAAAGAAAGTCCAGTTCCAGCGTTCAGTTAATGGTGAGTGTCCTTCGTCTTCCTCAATGCCGATATTGCTGGGCTTCTCCACACGTTCCAGCTTTCCCCCCGTTGTTGGAAGTTACCTCGGGGTAGGGAAGAAGGGACGCGGGGGTTGGAGGGAACACCCCCGAAGCCGTATCACCCACAAGCCCCACTAGCAGGGTTGGTGCAGGCACTTGCTGGCCGCCGGCTGGCGGGAAGCCAGCCCTGGTTCTTGCTGATGGGTTCTCATGCCGTTTCTCCCAGTTCTCCTGACTCAGGTCTGCAGGCTGCATCGGTCCAAGGAGCCTTGGAGAAACACCTTCCATGCCTCTGCGGGGACTGTATGGTCATGGGACACCTTGCCAACCTACATCGGGGTATTATGGGTAATACATAAGCAAGGCTCTGCTGGGAAGAGCTAGCAGAGCCATTGCTCTAGCTCCGCTAGCAGAGTCGCCTTGATGGGGCTCCTGAAGAGAGACGGGGGGTCAGTACCCTCCTCCCCCCTTCCCCCCCCAAAAAAAAAAATCTGTGTAGTGCTCAGCTGGTTCTTGAAAGAGCTGTGTCTCAGCCTTCGGTGGTCCATGTGGGTCTCGGAAGCACTCTGTTGTATTGTACATTTCTCTCCCTACTCTGCGGTCAGTGTGGTCTCTCTCACCCCTGCACAGTCCCCTCTTTCTCATCCCAGCTCCTCCTCGCTGTTTAATTCGTACATCTCTCTCTTTATCGTACAGTCAACATGGTGTCTTCCACCCCTGCACAGCCCCTCTCCCTGCCCCTCCTGCAACGCTCCTAGGAACCCACCAAACTCCCCCCCAAGACCCGCCCCCGTCTCTGTCCCCACAGGCATCCGTAGGGAATGCTGCGCCGTTCCTACCCCCAGCCCAGCTCTTGTGCCCTTGGCGACAAGGGGCGGAGGTCAGGGAGGGCTCTGCCAGCGCTGCCCTAGAGCTGTGGTTGAGGACGGGTTGGACCGGCTGGCGTTTTCCTTGGTTT